CTTCAGCTCCGCGCCCAGCGACGCGAGGCCCCCGGCGGCCGCGGCCACGTCGCGGGAGAGGCGCGCGGCCTCCGCGCGCCGCCGCGGGGGGGGGCGGCCTCCCCGCTCGCGGGCCCGTCCCCCATCGAGGGGGGGGGGTGCCGAGGCTGCAGGATGTCGGGGTGCCCTGGAAACGACATGGCTATCTCTTTGCGTACCCGCGGCTAGCTCTTCAGGCATGCTCCTGTTCGGGGCGCCGCTCCTGTGACGTCTCTGGCGCCATTGGGTCGCTGTGCTCGTTCCCCCTGGTGGGGGCCTGGTCCACATCGTCGTTCTTGTCCCGGATACGAGCCGTGTTCAAACAGATTCTGGACGTCCTGCGGATCTCTGGGCTGCCCAGGCCCTGTCAGTGAACCTTTCTCGTTGCCGTTCGGTGAGCCCTTGTTATTCACGCCTTCATGTTCAAGAGGCAGTCTTCTGAAAACGGTGAAACAACAGCCCTGTAGTTCCCAGGGCCCACTCAGCTGCAGGAGCCCCGACAGCCTCGCGTCCTGGTAAAATCATGACACAAGGTCTAGTTGGCAATCTTCGGCCGTCAACAAAACGACTCGGGGCGAACAACAACGTTTCTGGGAAAAAGAGGTCCAGACCTCTGGGGAACCACGCTGTGAAATAAGCGTCGGGTGCCTGGGCAGGCTGGGGGGGGAACGAGTTGACGAGGATGGGGAGGATGCATGGGGTGCTCCTCTGTTCATCTGTGTCCTCCTTCTGCTCTCCTTCCTCCTGCTCCTCGTCGTCTGCAATATACGATGTCTCCCTCTCTCCCTCATAACCATCATCTGCCGTAGCCTGCGAAGGATGGCGAAGAAGAAGGAGGAGCAGGAGGACGAAGCTAGAAACGAGGAGGAAGGGAGTGAGTGAATGATGGGCTCCTGACAGGGGCTAACGCTCATCGACGTCTCAGCACCTCATCGGACCCAAGCAGGCGAGGCTGAAGGAGGACAATAGGAGGATTAGGAGGAGGTGCCTCCTCTCCTCCCTCAGCCTCCCTCGTCATGTCTGCATCTTCTCTCTACCTCGCTCTTAAACCTCTCCCTCGCCTCCCTCGCCCTCTCCCTCCCCCTGATGAAGAACGCCATGTAATTATCGCCAGATTGGGCACTTGCATTGCGTTCTTCATCAATTGGATGTCTTCCTGAAGACTTCGAACGCTTTGTACATTTACGAGCATCCCGTGACGCCGGTCCTTGACGATCACCCCATATGAAGACACTTGCTAAAGTAGCATCGCATGTCCGATGCTGCACGTGGCTCGGTTCATTTTCAAAAAAAGCCGAGGCCTGCATGTATCCGCCCCCTCCCCCTCGGGACAAAGCACCACATGATAGTCCTTCTCCTTCTCCTCTTCCTCCTCCTCCTCCTCCTCGTCTGCTGCCTCCTCCCCTTGCCTTTCTCGTCCTGACGTCGTTGCTGCTGCTGCTCCGTCTCCTCCTTCTCCTCCTTCTCAGCAAGATGGAGCAAACCAGGCAAGGAACATGCGTGCACAGAACAGGTCAGGCGGCAGGGAACAGGCAAGCACGCAACAGACAGGCAATCAGCCTCATTATCATCCGTAATATTATCCTTCCAATCATCCCTCTTCGTCGTCTGTCTCTCCCTGGCCTGACATGCGTGCGTGTATATATCGATATATACACGTGTATACACATGGGTATGCAAGCAAGCATTGGGAGACAACATGATTAACGGACGGACAGATCACACATCAATAAGTCTAGATGCAGCAGACGCCCACAAGGGAAAGGGGACTGACTGACTGCCTATGAATCGGACCCAACATGTCGTCACGACTTGGCATCCACACTGCCTCGGCGGAGTGTACTTCATCAGTCAAACTTCTGGGTCTATCGAAGGAAGCCCCTTCACTCGCGCAGGTGCGCACGCGTCACAAAACGCACTGGCCCTGCAGGCAAACCACTCCCGCACTCTGACAGGCTAGTCGCCTGCGGGCACGAAGAGAAAAAGGCGGGCGCGTGGGAGGATGACGAGAAGGATGAGGAGAGCGAAGGAGAGGAAACCGAGAAGGAAGCGAGGGGTGGAACGATGAAGAGGGAAGGAGAAGTGGACGCGAGGGAGGGAGGGAGGGAGGGAGGGAGGGAGGAAGGGAGGGAGGCGGAGGAGGAGGAGGAGGAAGAGGAGGAGGAGGAGGAGCAAGAGGAGGAGGATGAGGAGGAGGAGGAGGAGGAGAAGGAGGAGGAGGAGGAGGAGAGAGGAGAAGGACGATGAGCAAGACTCGCCTCTGATTCGGCAGCGTCCATGCGCGGGAAGAGCGGCGACGTCTCCAGCTTGGCCTGTGCAGCCCCCCTTGGGCCTCGGGATGTGCCATGCCCTCCTCCCTCCAGCAGTGGAGGAGTGCGAGGAGGGAGAGGGTAGTGGCCAGGGAGAAGGACGACAGAGAGGAGCGGAAAGAGGCCTCGAGTCGGGCAAGTCGATCGCGGTCCAAGCCGCTCCGCCATTGATCCGCCACAGTTGCCTCTGGCACGAAGTGGAGTGCCCCAAGGCTCACAGTTGTGCTGCTGCTGCAGCCAGAACTGTAGATTCTTACGGGCCTGAACTCTGGAGTTCTGGGCCGTCTCGGGATCTTCCAGGGTTGCCCCAGTGAGTTCTGGGATGTTTCCTGCAAGTCCTCTGGATGCTGTGCCCGCCTCCTCCCTCCTCCTCCTCCCCCTTCTTCCTTCCTCCCCCCCCTCTGCCATGATTGTTCCTCCTCTCTCTTGCCTCCTCCCGTCCCTTTCTCCCCTCCTCCCCCCTCGTGCCTCCTCCCTCCTCCTTCCCCTCTCCGTCCTGGGAAGACCCCCCCTTCCCCGTAGAATCATAGCGTTAGTCTTCAGATCCACAGCTCCGTGGATAGCATGATGTTTCACGTGCGGTGCCCCGTGCATTTCACTTTCCCTGAGTCCAGGATGTCAATGAAAATTATTCGTATTTTTATGAATGCATCCCCAGAAAATAAATTATCCATTGTTTTTCACATACGGGAAATTAGATCCGCGCAGCACAGAAACAGGATCCACAAAATTGTCGCACACACCCGAAAAAAAGGGGATGTATTCTCCTGTAGAAGGACATGCCCGAACTAACCGCATTCCCTTCACCCAACACCCCTCCCACCCTCGGACCACCTGATCCGCCTCGACCCCCCCTCCCCTCCCCGTTGCCGGGGCCCCCAATCCCCCTTTCTCTGTCCCCTCCCCGGCCCTGCGGAGCTCGGACTCAAGGTGGTCCAGCCGCGAGTCCAGCGGCATCAGGTCCAGCTCCATCTGGGCAGGAGGGAGGCGAAGGAAGGACAAGGAACATCGGCAGCAGGAGGGGGGAGGGGACGGAGCAGGATTGGACGCAGCACATGGAAAAGGACGGGGGGAGGTGGAGGCGGGAGGAGTCGAGCAGGAAGCAGGGAGGGAGGGAGGAGCAGAGGACGACGAACAAGAGAGGGGTGATGTAGGTGATAATGTGTCACGCTGGTGTCGAGACTGCTCCGAAAGTTGGGGGTGCCCCCCAAATAAGAGTGAGAGAGAGAGAGAGAACAAAAGAGAGAGAGAGAGAGAGAGAGAAAAACTGACATCCACAACCATCACATTGTCCAGATGGAAATGGATATGTTCCTAGAGACGTTGGATACGCGCGAAGATTAGGACGAGTAGGCAAACTATGAGGTCGGCGCTCCATGACTACACTGCTTGCTCCTCATCACCCCATCTGGGTACATGGGAACGAGCATCAACACCAACACAGGGGCGTGCCCCTACCAGGGGAAGTTGATCCTAGATGTCGGTGTTGGTGGCGATACTTCGGCCACCTAGGAAACCCGAACATTACCGCCGTCACCGAGATCGGGACCGACACTCCTCACTGGAGGCACACCGCCGAGATTGGTATTGGTGTCGACCTCTAGACCTGCGACCCATGCGCGCGGTCCGACTGCCGCGTGATTGCAAACTCCTGTGCCCTCCGCGCCAGGAGTCGGGCGACTCGCGGGGCCGTCGTGATCGCGCGCCTTGCTGTCCAGCTCGAAAGCCTCGCTCCTGCGAGCGCTCGCCCGCAGAGCGATCCGCTCTCGTCGATCATCCCGAGTTGTTTTCGGGGAGACGTAAGACTCGGGTCGCAGGGAATCGGGTTGGCCCGATGGGGCCATCATGAAAATGACGCGACCGGGCATGACAAATCTGACGCAGGCGTCCGCTGCAGGCATCCCACGAACGCTGGACCGTCAAAACCCAGGACGCGCTCGTCTAAAAGCGTCGGCAAACCCGAGTTCCGGCGTACTCGAGTCTTGCGATGGGCATGTTGTCCACCACCACTACCGCCGCCATAAGTTGGAGGGGAAGGGGGTATTCCTCCTCCTCCTCTTCCTCCTCCTCCACCTCCTCCCCCCCTCCAACTTATGGTGGTGGTGGCGATGGAAAACAAGCCCATCATCTTACGTTTCCCCAATGGCTCAGAGACCCTTCCAGGGACCAGCGGCCGGAGACCTCGATGGACCTCACGCGGGATCGTGCCGCCTCGACGCGGCGGCGATGGTGGCGGAGGAGGAGGAGGCGGAGGAAGAGGAGGCGGAGGAGGAGAAGGAGAAGGAGGAGGAGCAGGGGGAGACGGAGGAGGAGGAGGAGGAGGAGGAGGAAGAGGAGGAGGAGGAGGAGGAGGAGGAGGAGGAGGAGGAGGCCGAAGAGCTCTGGTCGCCCTCCAGCACCGCGGGCGCGAGGCGCCGAGGCTGGGGACGCGACGGGCACAGGCTGGCACTGCGCGCTCTCTCCCAGCGCCGCGCCCCGCTCCCCCAGGAGCTCTGCCCGAAGGAGGGGGGCTGCACGGTTTCCCCCGGGGCCGCGGGCGACCCGAGAAGGAGGAGGAGGAGGAGGAGGAGGTGGAGGAGCGGAGCGGAGCGGGGCGGAGCGGAACAGTCGCGAAGCGACGAGAGAATAAAACAAAACCCTTCTGGCCAAGCGCCTTGGGGGGGAGACCCCTAAGAAAACGATCCAAATACTCCCGCCTGGTCCGAGAAATTCGGTCGGGCTGGCAGGGGGTGGCCAGCAGTCTAAGCTGGCCCTTACCCGTGGCCCCATAACCCCTGCACAACCACAAGCCAACGGCCTGAGAGTACACCATACTGTGATTTTCGTGCGCCCACCCCCCTCCGATATGCACCCTGGAGCCTGATGGCGGCCGAGACAGCACATCATCGATTCGGATGAGTTCAGCACGCTCGGTTCTCAACCACAGGTTGGGTGAAGCACGACTGGCACGAGCGAAGCAGCGGCTGCAAGCATTTTCCGCCTCGGTGATCAGGTGGACCGAGGAGAAGAGCGAGATGGCTGCGGCCGAGGGCGGCCGCTGGGGAGGAGTGCGAAGGGATGGAGGGACGACGACTTCCTCACCTGGCGCCTCGGGAGCGGAAGCATCAAGCCCAGATTGCGCCGTAAAGACATGAAGCTGAGCCCTCACCAATCGCTTCCTGATCAAAACCGCCTTATATTCCACCTCCTCCACCGTGGTCATCTGACTCTCGGGCACCCTGCACTTCTCGGTATTGTCCAGCAATGTCATCGGCAACGGCGTTCCCAATCCAGTACTCCCGAGAGACCCCTTGGTCGAAAGCCTCAGAAGGAGATAAATGACACGGAACCCAGACCACAGGGATACACAGGAGGAGGTGGAGAAGGGGGAGGGAGAGGGGGAGGAGGAAGAGGAGGAGGAGGAAGAGGAGGAAGAGGAGGAGGAGGAGGAAGAGAAGGAGGAAGGAGGGGGACGAGTCGCATAAGCCCTTTGGAGAAACCCTCCAAGGGGGGCGAGCTGGCGCTGACCTCCGCAGAGCGTGCTCACCGTCGGCGGTGGACAAACTTCTCTTTAATAAACCACCCTTCCGTGAAAACGGCCTAGGACCGAGACCGACGGACCTGGACCCGCAGAGAGAACGGCCGTGACGCCCTCTCGCGAACCGAAAACGGCCAATTCACTAGTCGACGTGTCAGGGTAGGAGGTCGATCAACTTCCGACACCGGCAGGGCTCGCCCGAGCCGGCAGAGGCTCCCGCAGCGACCACCCCGAGGAGCGCCGCGACGGGGTTCCTTCGGACCGCCGGCGAGGCCTTCGCGTGTGGCCGCGGCCCCCGGCAGGGAACGCTCACGTCTGGGCGGCAGGAACCACACCATACCGACGCCGACTCTTGCCAGGCCAATGCTTTGAGCAAGGACCGACCGTCCCGGCATTCCTATAGGCCTACCACGGAATGTTCTCATAACACAAAGATGTTTGAACAACAACATCGATGTTCTTAGAACATAAGCCATATGTGCTACGTGTTCTAAGAGCATTTCGTGCACACCACAGAAGGTTCTTAGAACATTCTCTGGTGGGCCTATAGGCACGCTAAGACGCTTCGCCACTGCTTGAATCCTAGGCCCAGGACAGGCCTGGCACGGGACGGTGCACGTTTGCGCAGCTGGCGCCTTCCCACCAGGCACCACGTGCCAGGCGCCGCCGCGAAGAGCACCAGGCGCAGCTCCACACCCTGGTCACCAGACTTGACGACTCGCACAGGGCGCAGCGAGAGCAGCTGCGCGGAGCGAGAGAAGCGGTGAACCCTCGTATTCCCCGCACAGGGGATCTGCCTCAACCGCGGTTTGAATACACACACAAGCACACCTCCCCCGAGTGCACTGTTAGGCGCTCGATGTCATGAGTTGAGTTCCTCGACGATCTGGAGCGCGTGAGCCACCATTCTACTTTCGAGGGCAAGGGGCGCTGATGAATTGCCTCCTCGAATACACGTAAGAGTGACCCTTCGCTAGAGTGACCTAGGGTGCTGGCCCCAGGGGGGTCGGGTGATTGTTCTTTGGAATGAGCTTGAACTCGCGTCGGCACCTGTATGGCGTGATTGCGCTCGCGTCTGAGCGCGCCAGATTTGGGCCCCCCTCTCAGTCGACAGCAACGCATACGTGGCACACCCTACTGTGCCCAGTGGTTTCCCAAGGAGGGCCAGTCGACCAGACGGCGCGTTTTCCAACCCAGGACAAAACCCGAATCCAAGCCCAAATCCTCAATCGTCTGGTTTGAACATCTTTGGATGTCTTCGAATATCTCTGAATATCTTTGAACACGTTTGAATATACAAATATATATACACACTAGAACCACGCGCCCGCTTCGCGCGCGCTTAGGTTCTAGCAAGCGAAGGCGCTTGACAATACCACGGCTGCGCGCATTGACAAAGTCACGGCTGCACGAATGCACGTACCGACGAATGGCTTCAGCATGGGTTGAAGCCGCCACCGTGCCTGTATTGTGGGTCAGAAGCATATTGGATGCTTGTCATGTTCGAGGCAATTCTGATGCCTCGTGGGGCTCGCCCGTGGCTGCTTGCGGACTGTAGGGGCTTCTTTGGGGCCTTCAGTGGGCTTCGTGGGGCCTCTGGAGTGCTTCTTGGGGGGAGGCAATTTTGAAATGTTTCGAAGCCTCTGGGGGGCAGTTTTGGGGCATCTTGGGGCCTTTTTGGGGTCTCTGATGGGGGCATTTTTAAGCCTCTTGGGGCCTCTTGGGGGCCTATTGGGGCGGAAATCTCCATTGTCGGTTCGTGTTCCCCCTCTTTGGCACCTCTTGGGGCCGTCTTGAAGCCCTCTTGGGCCGTCTTGGGCGCCTCTTGGACCGTTTGGGCGCCCTCTTGGGCTGTCTTGGGGGCCTCTCGGGGGCCTTTTGGGGCGATGTTCGAAGCTTCCTCGGCAATCTTGGAAGGTCAGAAGCCCGAAAACGCGGGCAAGCAAAAAACATTGAAAAACACAATGAAAATCTATGATTTTAGCCTCTTGGAGCTCTCTTGGAAAGCCTCTCGGAGCGCCCCTGGGGCTTCTTGGAGGCCCCTTGGGCCTTGATGGGGCTACCTTGAGAGTCTTGGAGTGCTCTTGGGCCGTCTTGGCGGCTTCTTGCCGTCCCCGGAAGCCGTGGTGGACGCCTCCGGGGGCGCAAAAGAGCCTCCGGACGCCCGGGGGCAAAGTGGGTTACGGGGGGGGGGGGGGGAATTCGGGAGGGTGTCCCGGCCCGGGGCCCTGGCCCCCGGTACCCCGGTGTATGATATATATATATATATATATATATATATATATGTGTATATGTGTATATATATACATATATATATATTATATATATATATATATATGTGTGAGCCAGTGGTATCTTTATTATTGAAAGTTGTCCAAAGATAGATCCCAACACGCTCCAGGCCTGCGGATGGGGTCGGTTCTGCCCCTGACGCCGGACCCGGCCAGACGTCATCGCGATGCGGCCCAGCAGTGCCAGACCTCATCGTGGTGGCTCCTGGCAGCGCTTGCTTTCGCAGCGCCCTCGAAGTGCAATTCGGGGCGTTCGAATCCAATTGGCGGAATTGCGCGGTTGCCCGCTGGCCTTCGAATCCAGTGGCGTCCCGCCGATCGTTGACGCGGCGCGGCAATGCCGGCTTGCGCGGTTGCGTCGGGCCCCCACGTGCGCCCTTGATTCGGGTGTTGCTAGAAGAGCCCCTGGCCCAAGGTGCCCCCAGCTTCTCGCTCCGCTGTGGAGCCCCTGGGGCCCTCTGGGCCTCGTGAGGCGTGCCCCGGAGGCCGCCCGGGCCACCCTATGAAAATCCTGGGGGCACCTTGGGCCAGGGGTACCTCTAGCAACACCCGATTGCTGCCGCGCACCGAAGGTCACTCGGGCCCCAGGGCCACTCCCGCGTGGTCCGTGGACCGTAGGTCACGTGCCCAGCGCCACAGCGACGGGGACCCGGTGCAGTCTCACCTCACCGAGGGTGGGGCCAGCAACGTGCGGGTCGATCCTGGAACGGTTCGTGCTTATGTGCTTGGTGGCAGCAGATGATGTTGAGAAGAGGAAGGAGGAAGGAGGAGGATGAGGTGGTAGAGGAGGAAGAGGAGGCGCAATGTTGAGCAGCAGGATAATGAAACAGAGGAGGAGGAGGAGGAGGAGGAGGAGGAGAAATAACAGGGCGGAGGAGGAGGAGAAGGAGGGCATTGAAGAGAGGGGTGGAGGAGAGAGAGAGAGGTGGGATGGTAGAGAGGGGGGGAAGAAGATCAAGACGATGCGGATGAGGAGCAACACAAGATACGGAGAGACAGGGAGAAAGACGGCGGGGAGGTCGAACAGGCTGGAGCAAGAGGACAGGGGATGATCGGAAAAAATGGGACGGATCAAGAGGCTGATGAGCAAGATGAGGAGAAGGAGGATGTGTAATCACTCCATGTTGGGGACAAAGGCGAGGAAATTGTCCATGGGCGTGAATAAAGCTTCGCCCTTTTTTGGCATAGCCGATGTAATGGCTGCGATGCATCCAAACGCTGTTGTGGCATGAGGGGGTGCTTCCATAGGTGTCGTTGTGATTTGGAGCTGGCTGCAGGAGGAGGAGGAGGAGGAGGAGGAAGCGAGGAGGAGGAGGAGGAGGAGGAGAGGAACAAGGAGGGGGAGGAGAAGGAGGAGGAGAGGAGGAGGGAGAGGAGGGGGAGGAGGAGGAGGAGGAACAAGGAGGAGGACGATGACGATGAGGAGGAGGACGAGGAGGAGGAGGAGGAAGCGGAGCAGGAGGAGAAGGAGGAGCAGGAGGAGGAGGAGGAGGAGGGCGATAAGGAGCAGCAGCGCCATTAGTGGCGGCGGCGGCGGCAGCCAGGAGCCGAGGAGGACGCGCAGGCCGCGGCGGTCCGCGCCCGCGCGGCGGGCGGCGCGGCGCGCCCGCTTGAGGTCGGCGCCCACCCGGTGCAACTCGGGGACGCGCGCCACCTGGCGCCGCGACCTCCTCCTCGTCCTCCTCCTCCTCCTCCTCCTGCTCCTCCTCCTCCTCCTCCTCTTCCTCCACTTCCTCCTCCTCCTCCTCCTCCTCCTTCTCCTCCTTCTCCTCCTGGTTCTCCTTCCTCTCGAGAGAGAGGGCCTCTGGGTGAGCAGGAGGGAGGGCCCTCCTCGGCGCCCCCCCCCCCCTCCCTGCTCCCCTGCAGCTCGTGGGATCCCAGAGGCCCCCCTCGTGGGATCTCAGAGGGGGGCGGCAGCGGGAGCGAGCGAGCCAAGCGAACGAAGCCTGGCAGGTGCTGCGGCCGGGAGCAGCTTCTGCGCTCGCGCGCCGCGGCCACGCCGCTGTGCCCTGCAGGACGAGGGCGCGCCGCTCTGCTTCGTGGGGGCGGGGGTGCCTGGGGACTGGGACGTGCTTGGCGTGTCGCGCCGAAGCATGGGTGGGCCAGAGCCCCGGCACGACACGCTGGGCAAGAGTGCCCGACCGCAGCCCGAGCTCCCCCTGCTGCAGCAGCGCACCGGGGCTGGCCCTCGCAGCCGAAGGCTCCGGGGCGGGGCCCGCCCAGGGAGACGAGGCAGCACGGAAGGGGAGGATGAGGAGTGGAGGCCGGGGAGAAGGCGAAGATCAGAGGGGAGCGGAGAGGGGGGGGGGGGAGGCGATGGGGGAAGAGGGATGGGGGTACGGAGACGGAGGCGGGAAGGGAGCAAGGGAACAAGGGAGGGCAGGCGAGGGAAGGGAACCAAACTGGCTGTGAGAAGGGGGAGGGGGGGGCAGGGTATGCCTTGGCGCTCTCCCTCTTGTGTTTCTCCCCTCCTTGCCCCTCCTCGTTCCCCATCTCAGCCCCGCTCCATCTTCCGAACTCCTCTGTCAACATCGCCCTGCCCATCCCTCCCTCCGCTCCTCCTCCTCCTCCTCTCCTCCTCCTCCTCCTCCTCCCCTCCTCCTCCTCCTCCTCCTCTCTCCTCCTCTCTCCTCCTCTCTCCCCTCTCCCCTCCTCCTCCTCGTCCTCCTCCTCCTCCTCCTCCTCCTCCTCCTCCTCTTCCTCCTCCTCCTCCCGATACTATTCCGCTTCCTCTTCCAGCTCGTCCTCCATCCTGCTCATCATGCTATCCCTCCCTCCCTCCCCCTCCTTCTAATGTTCCTAAGTCGCCGTCCCTCCTTCCTCCGCCGCCACAGCGCAGGCCTCCTTCAGCTCACTCTCCACGCCTTCAAGGCGGGCGGCAATCACCTCGTCGCGGCAGGGAGCCCCTCCTTCTCTTACACGTCTTTCTTCTTGTGTCTATCCTCGCCCCTCCCTCTTCCTCCTGGGCAAGGAAGGAGCTGCTCGTGCAGCGTGTGGCCATGGGGCATGCATTCGCACGAGTCGTCGTCGTCGTCGCCGTCGCCCGTCCCCCCCTTTCCCTGGGCCCTCCTTCTCAACCGATCCAGCCAGACGGAAAAAACATCGTAATTGATTCGAAGGGAAGCCGGAAAGCCCATTCACTTTAATCCAGTCCCTGGCGGGGGGGGGAGAAGTTATAGCGGGGCGGGTGTCCCGGGGGGGGCCCCGGGGGGGGCAGTGGGGGAGGTGGCGGGGAGGGATCCCCGGAGGGGCCCCTTGGGTCGCGAGCTCCCCCTGTGGGTCCCCCAGATGGACACGGTGAGCATGGGGGTAGTCCCCTGGTGGTCACGGGGAGGTCAGGGCCCCTCCCCCGGCCTCACCCCTGTGGACAAAGGGGACCACCACCACCACCACCGCCCGCTCCTCGCAGACCCCCCCCCCGCTGGAGGCACCCTCCTCACTTGAATTTGCTGTTGCGGGGTGCTGCGTATTCCCCCGCGTGACTCCAAGATGCCTCAGAGTCGCGTGGCCAGGGAGCTCCCCAAGAAGGCGCCCAAGAGGCCTCCCAGCAGAGCCCAAGAGGCTCCCAAGAGAGCCCCCCAAAAGCTCCAGAGCGCCAGCGTCATCGTTGCCGCCACCGCCGCCGCCGCCGCGGTCGTCGTCGTCGTCGTCGTCGTCGTCGTCGTCGTCGTCGTCGTCGTCGTCGTCGTCCCCCTTCAAGATCGGCGGTACCCGCAGTAAGGCCGTCCCAATAGGTACCGACTTGGGCAACCGCCTCCTCCCCGACCAGGTGCTCCTCTTCCGCGTCCTCTCAGTTCGCAGACCTGAACTTCGGGGAACTCTGAAGACTTCTGGGGTTTTCCTCCTCCTTCTCCTCCTCCTTCTCCTCTAACTCCTTCTCAGGGAGGGAAGGTCAAGAGGAGGGATGACGGAGCGGGCCTTCGATTTTGTTTTGAATCTGCCAAGGCCAGGGGGGATGCGGAGCTCTGGGAGATCCTCCCCATCCTCCTACTCCTCCTTCTCCTCCTCCTCCTCCTCCTCCTCTTCCTCCATTCCGTGTCAACCAAGAGAACGAAGTTATTCTGTAATCTGGATGTGTCTGCCCCCTGGTGGAGCGGCCCCGACAGATGCAAGGAGCGCGCAAGAGCCTGCAAGGCTACTGGCTGAACCCCCGACGCTCTTGTCTTCGAGGCTGCCTGCCCGTAGGCGGCCGGCAGAGCCCCCGTTGCTGTTCTTGCGTCTGCCCAAGCTGCCTGGCATCGATCCGTGTACCGATGCGAACGCGCTGTTGCAAGTTTTCGACCGGGTAGCGAAAGCCCAGGACCCCATTCCCTCGGAACTCGCTTGCTTCGTGGCGAGTGCTGGAGGGGTCCCCCTCCTCCAGTCTGCAGGTGGGCCACTACTCCAAATCCCTTATCAGTCGTCCCCCCGGTCCTGTTTTTTGAGGCGCCTTTTTTGTAACAAGGAGGGGTCTGGTTTATTAGAGCGCTTTCTTTAGATTGGAGCTTGGGCGGTCCCGTTCATTAAGGCGCCCTGTCGAAGAAGGGGGTCCAGAATACTAGGTCGCATTAGGAGGCGGGTTCAGCTTTTTAGGGAGGGGGGGGTCGACTCATATGGGGTTTGGAGTAGGTATCACATCACCACAGAAGATTCCGGCGATGGGCCGATAGACGACAGACCCCGTCTCGGCTGGGCGGATGAAACCGGACGAAGGGGGTGACGGAGAGAAGGGCGAGGGGGGGAGGGGCAGACTGCCAACGGAGCGGGCCCACCTCGGGTGAGCAAGAGGAAGGGCACAAGACTCGCCAGAGGACGAAGGAGGAGGAGGAGGAGGAGGAGGACCAGGAGAAGCAGGAGGAGGAGGAGGAGGAGGCCGACGAGGACGAGAAAAACTCATGCTTCTCGTCATCGTCCTCGTCGCCCGCCCTCCCCCCCTCGTTCTCCTCCCACCTCGTCCTCCGCCTCCTTCTCGCTCCTGTTCCCATGTGTTGCATGCATCTCTTCATGCTGTCCACCGTGGGGCGGAGAAGGACGACAAGAAGGCGCATGCGACGGCGGTGACGAAGGCAACCGGTGGCGGCAGCACAGCAGACACGCAAAGCCAAGGTGTCTTGCAGTAAGCGATGCATGGGCAAAAAGTAACCGGTCGGCCTTGGACTGCACGGTTTCCCCCGGGGCCGTAGGCGACCCGAGGAGGAGGAGGAGGAGGCGGAGGAGGATGAGGAGGATGAGGAGGAGGAGGTGAAGGATGGGGAAGGGGGGAGGAGAAGGAGGAGGAGGAGGAGGAGGAGGAAGGAGGATGAGGAGGAGGAGGAGGAGGAGGAGGAGGAGGAGGAGGAGGAGGAGGAGAGAGAGGAGGAGGAGGAGGGAGGAGGAGGAGGAGGAGGAGGAGGAGGAGGAGGAGGGAGGAGGAGGAGGAGGAGGAGGAGGAGGAGAGGAGGAGGAGGAGGCGGAGGCGGGAAGAGGAAGAGGACGGGTCGCCCAAGCCCTTTGAAAAAAACACCCTCAACCTACTGGGCCTCGCCACGACGCCCCCCCAGAACTCCAGCGTGTGCCCGGTGACGGCGGGGAGCGACGAAGAGTCTCCCTGGGGCCACCCCTCTGGCAGGCCAGCCTCTCGTCGGGCGCCGCGGCAGCGGCGCCGGCAGCGGCGGCAGCGGCGGCAGCGGCGGCAGCGGCAGCGGCAGCGACCGCGGCGGCGGAGCGGACGGCACCTTTTGCTGGCCGACGCGCTCCTCGAGCACCTCCACGCGCGACACGACGGCGGTCATGACCGCGGCCTGCCGGCGAGGGGAGGGGCGAACGCAGCGGCGAAGGGGAGGAGCGAGGAGGGAGAGAGAGGGCAGGGCGCAGGGGAGGACGACGACGAGGAGGAAGGCGAGGACGGAAAAGGAGGAGGGGGAGGACCAGGAGGACGAGGAGGAGGAACGGTAGAAGGAGGAGGAGGAGGAGGAGAACGAACGAACGAACGACTCTGCAGAGGCGTGTCAGCTGATCCTGCGGCCTCGCGGGGCAATTAAAAACAACAACAAAAGAGTTCCACGGCCGGCTCGCTTCTAGAGGGCGCTGCGATGTGAAGTTGCTCATCACGCGTGGCACTTGGTGCACTTGTGTCCCGCCCACCCCCTACCTCGGCTAAAAACCGGTGCTTTAACGGCTTGGCATGGCCGTAGGGTCAGGGGCAAGGAGGGTGGAAAACGAACGGCGTCGGGAACCGCCCTAAACGAGTGGGAGCCCGCCGACGCACGAACAACAATTTAAAGCCAACGAGACTCGGGCAGCCTACGGCCCGCGGGCCAACACGAAAAGTTAAACCGTGGGGGGTCTCTGGAGCCCCGCGAGGCCCAGGAAATTTCTAAAGCGGAGAGGAGGCGTCGAAGAGGAAGCGGAGAAGGTCGGCTCAGCAGCGGCGGCAGCATTTCTGGGCCTAGACGAACTCGCGGAGGCGGGAGTAGCCACGCAGGGACAACTGGAGGCCGTAGGAACAGGGCTCGATTGCCTCTGGGTTCTCGTGGATATCATACCCGTTGCTGTAGAGAGTGTCATCAGCGATCCAGTCGTGGCCGAAACAATATCGGGGACGCGGCACTCTGTGTCGGTCGGGCAGCAGTTGCTGAAGATGGTGCTGTCATCTGCGATGAAGGCGTGGTCGACCGATACTCAAAAACAACGTGCGATCTGACTCTTGCCTGTCTCGAAGCGATGCCCCCAGAGGGGGTCGGTCGGCTCAGAGAATCCTAAGGTCTCCGTACCGCTGAAAACATGCGCGGGCACCGTCTGTGACGGAACAGGAGACCATCTCGCCATAGCCGACCCTCGAGACAAGCGAGCAATTTTCCTCAACGCGTGAGGTCGAATCCTGATGTGAGTCACTCAGCGGCGAAAGGGGAAACAACAATCTGCTGCCCAGACTCTGATTGCATTCCAATGGTTTGCCAACTTTCACTCGCACCAGAGCTCGGGGCAATTTGCTGCAGTGGTCTCCATGCCGCCTCTAAGAGCCGTGCTACTGATTCGCGTCGAGATGCAACTGCAGAACCCGTGAGTTGTGACTGCGAGGAGGGGCCCCGTGCTCGTGTACTCCTCCGATCTGCACCAGAACCTGCACCACAATGTCCTCCATACCCGTCGCTTTGGCCTCGGTCAAGATTTTGACTTTGTCCCGAGCACGCGTCGTCTGGAGCCTGCAGTACCGAACCAAATCTGCCAGGTCGCCGTTGGGCAACTTCTCGTGCTTGAGCTTCTCTTGGTAATCCTTGAACTTGGTTGCGCTCGTCTGCCCTACTGTGCCTCCTTGAGCCACGAGCGCGCCGATGAGTGAAACCCGCGCGTGTGGACGTGGGATCCCGAGCTCTTCCAGCTCTGGAACGAGTTCGCCATTCTTGATTGTCTCCTGCTGGTGATCGCGGATCCTCTTGGCCCCCTGCCCGCAGTAGCGCGCTGCGAGCATCATCGGCTGCGGCGCGTCGTGGCTGGTCGGAAGCTGGACGTGACGATAGAAGGCTGACTCCACCAGTCCGTTTCGATGTTCTCTCCCAGGTGTCATCCTCATCAAGATGGGCGCCATCGCCTGCGCACGCTGGATCGGCATCGTCTGCATGTCGGCGAGGCCTCCATCGCGTAGTCCGTAGTGGTTGTCGGCGGCGGCCCAGACGTCGTTGAGCGCCCTGGCGTGCCGGGGCCTCGCCGCCTGGGCCCCCCCAGGAGGGGGCTGCTGGGGCTGGGCCCGCGGGCCTGGGCCACCGCGGCGACCTCGATCTCCGCCGCGAGTCCGATCGCCGCGCCCAGCGGCGAGTTCTCCGCGCCGCTGCCCCGCCCCAGTCGCGAGTGCCCTGTCCGCGAGGTTCGACATCTATCGCAACATCGGGTGGCGGTGGGGCGTGGACTTCTCGGATGCTTGCCTGAAGCGCCCGTGGACTAGGAAACTCGCCTTGAGCCAGCGCGGCCCCAGGCAGGGATCACCGAAAGGCATCGCGCGCACTCCCTGGGCCCACGCAGATCGGACAGCGCAAGTCGCCGGGCGCTCTCAGCGGGGGCGGGGGCGCACTGAAAACTGCCAGGTACCTGCGACGCTTCAACGATTGCACAATATGTCTCTTGGCAAGCATCACAGACGAGAAGGTGGACGAGCAATGGCAGCATTGGTTGGTCACCGCGAGCTGATGTATAGATCCCTGATATTGTGGGGCGGGCGGTGGCACTGGCGCGCTCGCAAGGCCGCCCTGGAGTAGGGGGCCTGGCCACAAGGGCCCCCGCCGTCGCCTGGAAGCTCACAGTAAAACTCTCGAGGGGGACCTGCAAGGGCTGGGGGCACCTCAGGGGCATCTGGCGCATGGAGTTCAGAGGGTAGCTGAAAGGGGTCCATTGCGAGCCTGCTCCCAATAGGCCTCGCGGAAGTCCTCGGCGTCGATGCTCCTAATGTGCGCAGCGGCTCTAAGGTTAGTGAATATGTCTTCGATGCGATGGCCATTGATTTTTTTCTCAACGAAAAAACAAAAAATCCCATGGGGGGTGGCCTCTAGGAGCTTCGCATCTCTTTGCAGCTGCAGGGCCCGCGGATTGGCACCAGGTCGGACCCAGCCAGAGGGCGTGACCGCTGGGGGTTCGCCACGCGCCTTGAACTGCCCAAAGAGAGCCGCAACTGCCTGCACGGAGCCATCTGGATGAAGGGCCAGACGCTGCCAGTAGCCGAGACGACAAATCAACAGCTCGGTCCTAGCATCTGCGATCCTCAACTTTTCATGCATCAACGACGCCGACGGGGTCCGAATGCGACCCCGACCAGGACCAGCATGGCGAGCGACCCCTCGAAAAAGCGACTTGTGCAATCCCAAAGATGACCGAGCCCAGCTTCGCAAAGTCCCGCTTCCCCAGAATGTAGACCTCAAGGCCCGAGAAGGCCGCGCTGTGGATCGCCCCCGAGAAAGCCATGCGCTTAAGTTTCAGGGGCGCGCGTTGGTTCCAGAAATCGGCCGAGCTTCGACCCGGCTGCTCTCGCAGCGTCTACCCGGAGACGAACCTCGGCTCCAGCTCCTCCCGCGAGATGTTCCAGCCCCCCAGAGTGCACCGCCCCAGCGTCTACTTGTCCAAGAAACTGCACCAGTCCAGAGAGGGCGGCTCGAGTGGCCTCCTCATCGACGTTCTGGCAAAAACCTCCCAGCTCCTCCAACTGATCAGACAAGATGCGAGACGACAGCTTCAGCCCTCTGGGCTTCTCGAAATGGGTTGCCGCCAGGAAGGGGGGTCTGCGAGACATCATCTGCGTAGCCCCGCATGGATATATCAATCTGCTCCTGATGGATAGGCGGGTCAATCAGCGTCGCCGCTTCCATCGACGGAACGGAGCCACCGCCTCCTGCGTCCAAGACGGCCTGCGTCTCCGTCCTCAGTATGCGATGCATGTGATTCCAGGCCTCCAGCGGCTTCGCGAACGAACGCACGAACATCTCGCAAGCGTTGCCGTCGCCAACGCCAGCGCCGTGGGAAGGTACAAAGAATCCGTTCCCCTCGCCCGCTTGGGTTGCCATGGCAGCCCCGCGATGGTGCTGCCACAAGAAACCTGGCCCTGCATATCGGGATCCGCCTCGCCTAACAGCTGCCAAGCATCTCGTGGCAGGTGGAAGGGGAGGCGTTGCTCATATCTTGTTCCACCTGCAAGTGCGATGCGAGCTTCTTTCTTGCGCAATCGCCAGGAGTAAAGCTCGGCGGCGAACCGGGCGTTCTGCCTCGATCGATGCGCCGCGCGGCTGCGAGCATGAACAGGGGGCCGCGGGCGTCGAACAACTATGCCTCTATGCCAAGCTGTGCCAAAAGGGCAGTACCAATGAATCAACTTCGTGGCCTTCGCTCCGCGCTTACCATTTCCTTTGCTCAACTGACGCGTGCGTGGCCAGCGCCACCAATGGGGCGCGCAACAGGACTGTCTGATCTGCCTCGGGATTCCAAAGGGCCGCTCCACAAACCTCGGACAAGGGACACGCACTCGTCGTCGTGCTTCGCCGTCGCACTCAGGAGGGCCTCCTCGAGCCTCGCGCGCGGCCGCCCTGAGAGCCAACAGCCAGACCTCACCGAAAGCAGAACGCGGTGGCGCGCGTCGTCTCCTCGCCGCTGTTTCCAGACACTCTAGGGCATTCGTCCAATCATCGCAAGCCGCAGTGCTGGTTCGCCCACGCATGTCTTTCCACTCCCCGTCAGGATCGCCCAGGTCGCGCTGCCCACGAGCGGCAGCGCCAGGAAAACCGGGGCCCAGCACACGTGATGCAGAGAAGCCGCCCTCGGCGGCGCTGGACTCCATCGTCTCCTGCTACTCCGCCAGGGCGGGGGCATAGGTCGGGGTCAAATTGAAACGTCGTCGCCGTGCTCCGCGATAGCGGGCGCCGGTCTGGAAGGCAATATTCCATGCAGTACTAGTGTGTCCCTGATCAGCCGCTCGCTGTGCTTCGTGTGGCAGCTCGTCGACGCGTTCTCTATCCAACCGTGCTCTAGCCCGCCTGATCGCCCTGTCGAATGCTCGTAGGCGTAAGCGATCCGCCTCTGCGCAATTGACGCTCATCTGTCTCCGCTTCTCCCATAGTCGCTCACGCTCAGCTCGATATTCACCCGCGGGGCCAGGCCTGCACTGGTCCACGTAGTCCGTCTTTGCTGCTTCGCGAGCGCCCGCGACAAGCTGAGCCCAGGCCATGGAAGGGTCCTCCGTCAGGATCGCCCGCCTCCAGAGGGGCTCGTTGCTCTCCGCGCGTCTTTCCAACTCAACAACAAACTCAAGGGCACCACGCAACTTCAGCGCCTTGACCAAGAGGTCACGATCCCATCTTACCTCATTCTTCTCCGGCGGGGGCGCAGTCTATAATCGGTGACGCAACTTCCACAGCATCGGGCAGTGATCTCGAAGCTGTGGCGACAGGATACGCTGTAGGTCTGTCATCGCTCGTCTCAAGCACACGCAAGTTTGCGTGGCCTGCGCTGCCTCGCACGGTCCCCGCACGTGGTCTGGATGCGAAGAGATGCGCGGCAGCGCTCCAGGGTACGTCGGCCCAGTGTCATAGAAGGCGTCGATGGCCGCCATCCCCTCCGTACTCATCATTCGCCACAGCGCAGCGCTCTCACCATTCTCGAAGCTGTTCGCGTACTGCCCCATGTGCACGTCGTCCCTCGTCGCCGTGGGGGTACCGCTCGCTCCCGCTCTCTTACCAAACTCACAGTTCGTGTCTGCCCCCACTATCACCATGCTGCGGGCCTTGGCCCGCTGTATCGCCCGATGAAGCCAAGCCGTGAGCTTTGCACACGTATTCGCCCAATGATCGACCTGATGCTTCTGCGGGGGGGTAGTATGCCACAACCGCCAGAATGTCAAACGTCGGACTCTTCAGTCGCACTGCCCCCCCGTCCCGCAAGTTCCTTGGGAAGCACGATGATCTCTTGAATATGAGTCATGTATACGCAGACGCCGTCCCCATTTTATGTTTTAGCAATGTTTGAACGTTCCACCTGTAGGGACGCAGACGCAGACGCAGACGCAGACGCGCGAGTCCGCTGGCCGGCAAGCCCCTTAGGGGCGGCACGGGCGGGCCGGAGCGAAGTCGCTTTCGAGGTCCGCCCATAATTTGGACGTTGTATAGCGCTCTGTAGCCATGTGCCGGGTGTGCTTCCAACCAAAGCCTTTTGCAAACATTCTGGGATGACGTCACTCCACCGCTTTCGCTGTCCGCCGTGTCGTCGTCGTGTTGCCCGGGGGTCATGGATATCAGGTTCCCATGCCGCCGCCAGTCGGGCCTAGCTGTGGTGTGGTTGTGTAGCAACTCGCCAAGCTTAATCTTAGGGAAGGGGCAGCTCCCCGCCCATCTCCAGCGCGGCTCCGCGCGAGGCGCAGGCGCGGGCGCCGCGCGCGCGCAGGGCGCCTGCCTCTGCGCCACCCGCCTGGAGTGTCCGGCCGCGGCAGGTCCCGGCCGGATACCCCCATATATCGGAAGCCCCGGGTGCACTGGGCGCGGCGCCGCGGCGACGCCGGCGCCCGAGGGAAGCTCTCGGAGCCGCCCTCCCCAGAGATCCTGGCGACGCCATTTTCTCGAGCAGGCGTCTTCGCTCGATCTGGGGCCCCTTGCTGGAACTCTCCCTGGGGCCCTCTTATAGCGACATCTCGGGTTCCTCCGGGCCCACCTCGGAACCCTCTACGGGCCCGTCTGGGAGCCCACTCTGGGGCGCGTGAGGCCGCCTCGGGCCCATCTTGCGGACCTCGTGGGCCGTCCTGGCACATCGGAGCATCGAAAAGGCGAAGAGGCAGAACAGCTGGCAAGGCACAAGGGTTAAGTCGGGCGTGTCCCCCTACAGGGGGGCTTTGGACGACAAACAAAAAAACAAAAAATACTCCAACAATGCACAACAATACTAAAAACATCGTCCTCATACTATGTTTTGACTATGTTTGAAAATTCCCCTGTAGAGGGACAAGCCTGACTTCACGCAAGGGAAGCCACACTGCCTGGCCTCCCGGGGCCTCCTCGCGGGGGCTCTTCTGGGTCTCTGGGGCCCGGGCGGCCCAGGGGCTCTGGAGTGCCAGCTTGTCGGTGCCGAGAGAGCCTTGACTTAGGTCGGGCGTGTCCCCCAACAGGGGGATTTTGGTCGAAACATCAAAAAGTACCCCAAGAATGTTCCAAACATGCTCAAGAATAGTCAAAACAAATCGTCCCCAGACTATGTTTAAACTATTTTTGAATATTCCCCCTGCAGAGGGACAGGCCCGACTTAAGCCTTGACCGTCCTTGGATCGGTCTCGAGCAGTCTCGGGCGCCGAGGTGTCGCCCAACGAGACCATCGTGGACGCCTCTTGGCCCGTCTGTATGAGAGCCCTCTTGGGGGCGCATCAGGCTGCCTGGGGGCCGTTCATGGGGGGCTTCGTGGGCCGTCTTAGTACACCGGAACCCCGAAAAGGTGAAGATGCAAACAAACCGTGGAAACACACAAGGAAAACCATTGTTTCTGGCCTCTCGAAGCCTTCTTGGGGGCTGCTCTTCTGGGTCTCTGGGGGTGGCCCAGCGCCTCCTCACTGCCGCGTGGTCGGTGCCGGGGCCATCTCGGGCGTCCTTAGGATCGCCTGGGGAGCCCACCTTGGACCCCTCGTAGCCCGTCTGGGAGCCCTCTTGGGGGCGTATGAGGCCGCCTGGCGGCCATCTTGGGGACTTCGTGGGCCATCTCAGCACATCGGAACATCGAAACTGTGGGGAGGCCATGAAGCATGAAACAACACATGGTAAACCACAATTTCTAACCTCTCGGGGCCTTCGTAGGGGTGCTCTTCTGGGCCTCCAGGGCCGGCTCGGTGCCTCGTGAATGCCATCTGGTCGGTGCCGAGACCATCTTGGGCGTCCCTGGATCGTTTATGGGCGGTCTCGGACGTCCGGGAGTCGGCAGGGGGAGCCGTCCTTGGGGCGGGGGCCAGAATGTACGACGACGACGACGACATACGAGGTAGGACGTACGTACAAGTGGGGCAGCGGTCTGGAGTCTGGGGGCCGGGATCTCTCTCTCTCTCTCTCTCTCTTTCTCTCTCTCTCTCTCTCTCTCTCTCTTTTTGTCTCTCTCTCTCTCATATATATATATATATATATATTCATACATACACCCACAGCTATATATACATATATATATATATATATAAATATATTTATATACATATATATACATATATGTATATATGTATATATATATATATGTATACACACATCTCTCCTGATCCTTTTCCGCCGCATCCTTATTCGTCCCACCTCACGCAACTCCACTCCACCTTCATGTGCTCTTCCTCCTCCTCCTCCTCCTCCTCCTCCTCCTCCTCCTCCTCCTCCTCCTACTTCTCCTCCGAACAAACATCGTGCAACCCCTTCCTCAACTCTTCATGCGTGCTATTATTATTCCTCCTTCCCTCCTCCTTCCTCGTCCTATTCCCCCCCTTGCATCCTCCTTGCCTCCTCCTCCTCCTCCTCCTCCTCCTCCTCCGCCTCCTTGCCACCTCAACTGCTCCTCCTCCTCCCCCCCATCCTCCTCCTTGCCTCCTCCTTGTCTCCTCCTTGCTCCTCCTTGCCTCCTCCTTTCCCTCCTCCTCCTCTCCTCCTCCTCCTCCTCCTTTTCCTCCTCCTCCTCCTCCTCCTCCTCCTCTTCGTCCTCCTCCTCCTCCTCCTCCTCCTCCTCCTGTTTACCACCATCAGACACCCCCTTCCTCAACTCCCAGCGAGTACTCCTCTCGCTCCTCCTCTTCCTCTCTTCCTCCTTCCCTCGTCCACCTCCCTCCTCCCCCGCATCGCCCCTGGCAGGGCGGCGCACGTGTGGGGGGGGGTGAGCCTTGCGCGCCTCCGCCTCCGGGGAGCGCTCCAGCGCCGCGAAGGCGTCCACCGCGGCCCGGAGGCGGTGGAGCTCCTTCCAGACCTGCTCCTGGGACGGTTGCGTGCGAACCCACCAACGGCCACTGTGCAATATCGGACTGCCGCATCCTCCGCGCAACTCGCCCTGACTGATGCTTCGCCCGCTCTGGCAGCGTCTGTCGTTTCTGTCCGGCGCCTCGGCGCGCCCCCCCCGTCTGCGCCGCAGCCTCCGCCTGGCGCAGCGACGCCCCGCAGTGCGGCGCACAGCTGCACCCTCCTCGTCGCGAACTGCGCGGAGGCGCAAACGGTGGAGTGCCGACTATGGGCTGCCATGCCCATAGCCAACACATGTAGGACTGCCCATGTCGCGCCACGGCTCGGACGTCCGTTCCCTGTGCATGTTTCGGCTCGGTGCGCGCATGTTCTCGCCAGATGGCCCGACAAGCCTTTTTTCGATGGTCTTCGCCGAGAAGAAACGCACACGCCCGAACGACGCCACTAATTATCGCAACGCCCGAACGCAACGCACACGCCCGAACGCAACGCACACGCACGGGCAGAAACTGGCAACACTCTCTATCACCCTCTTGTCAAATATGGGCCGCGTCTGCATCTCAGGGCGGATGGGGGGCCGGGAAGGGGCATACAACTCCTTGACAAAAACCCTGCCCCGACTTGTGGCCGCCGCGATCGCCCCGGCGACCTCCAAAACCGACCCAGCGGTTTGGTCCTCGGGGCCGGACATCACGCAGCGATGGGCAACTGGCAGATGCAGCTGCAAAGCGGCAGCGGGTAAGAGACGAATGCGAATAATGAGAAGAATTAATCTGTCACCGTGCTACCACGGGGAACGCTTGATCGGGAAAGAGGCGCCCTTTCCTGGCCACGGCGAAGCCTCGGCCGCGAACCGGTTCACCGACCTGGACCGAAGGAGCGGCCGGAAAACCAGAGCCCATCCTGAACCCAAAGTGGCTCTGAACCACAGCGAGCCGCGGCCCCGAAAAGGTCGTCGTCGTCGTCGTCGTCGTCGTCACCAGTCCCAAAGCAACAAGAAACGTCACCGAGGGCCGTACTTTGGAGCCACCACGGCCCCCAAAATAGCTCCCGAATTCCGAAGGAGTTGCGCGGCAATTTATCATTTGTTGAAAGCATGCAGAGCTGGGCGCGTAGGCCAGCCTACAATGCCTCCTGACGGGCATCCATTTTGAACCAAACATCACCGCGGCCGTCGCCATCATCACCACCAAAACCACAAGAGAACAAATGTTACAATCATCGTCGGGCTGAGGGCAGGTCAGCCTGCGTCGCCGCACATCGACTGTTTGCCACAGCCGAGTGCTGCGAGCTCCCAGCAGCATTCGTCGACAGCTGTCAAAAACAGAACCGCCGAAATGGTTCTTGAAAGGGCCGCCTGAGATGTTTGTTGAATGGCCGCCGAAAGGGCCGCCGAAATCGTCGCCGAAACCGCCGCCGAAATTGCCGCCAACATCGCCGCCGAAATCGCCGCCGAAATTGCCGCCGAACGTGCCGCCGAACTTGCTGCCGAACTTGCCACCGAAATCGCCGCCGAAATAGGTGCGCACTCCGCCGAAACTCAGCCGCCGAAATTCAGCCGCCCAAGTAGCCGCCGAAAAGCCGCCGAAATTCACGGCGGAAATTTCGGCGGCAATTTCGGCAGCGATTTTGGCGGCAATTCCGGCGGCCCTTTCGACGGCTCTTTCGGCGGCCCCTTCGGCGGCAATTTCGGCGGCCCTTTCGACGGCTGCTTCGGCGGCGTTGGTGTTGCCAACTGTCGACAATGGCTGCCGGGAGCTCTCGGCACTCGGCGGCCCTCCCGGGCCCTCTAGGGCCCTCGAAGGGCCTCGCCAGAAAACGTCTGCGAAGTAGCTCAATCCATGCGTGATGTGTACGCGATAGCATGCGCAACGTGCAAAACACATGCCGCGCATTATGCGTCAGCACGCTCTAAGGTGTGCCGGGAAACCACCGCGCGGCAGGGCGCGCCTGCACACTGGAACCCTCAAAAACATGCAATTTCGTCTGGCATGGATTTCGGCGCGCGCCCCCTTTCGTCTCCAAAGAAAGAGCCACTACGAGAAACGTCGTAAAAGAAACGTCGTGGTTAAGTCGATCCCCTTCCCTCTTCCCTTCCCTGACGGGGGATTGTAGAGGGCTGGGGTACGCGGGAAGCGGGGGGAGGTGGGGGGTCATTGGGGTATGTCCCGCGGGTCAGATTGCAGCTCTTCGCGGGGGCCCGGCGGTCCTCCCCGCCCCTCCCCCGGGCGGTCCCCCCCGTGGACAAGGGGGACAAAGGGGGCGGTCTCCCTGTCCACAGGGGAACTCACCCCCCCCCGCCTCGGCCCTGGGCCCCAGGGCGGCCCCGGGGACCCCTCCTAGACGCCCGCCCCCGAGGAGACACTCCTCCTCCTCCTCCTCCTCCTCCTCCTCCTCCTCCTCCTCCTCCTCCTCCTCCTCCTCCTCCTCCTCCTCCTCCTAATCCTCCTCCTCCTCCTCCTCCTCCTCCTCCTCCTCCTCCTCCTAGCGCCAGCTCGGTCCGAGCCCACGGCTCACCTCGGAGCCCGCGCCACGGGGCTCTTCGGCCCCGATCCTGCGCGTTTTTGTTTTTTGTTCAGCGGTTCCGTGATGTCGGGCAATGCTGCTGGAGGCGGGCCGTTGCGCAGCCGGCGCCCCAACCGCTCGGCGGCCGAGCGGCGGGCGCAACATGCCCGCGCACATGGCCGCGCCGCTGTGCACTTCGCCGACGGCCTCGGCGCCATCGAGGTGCACCGCGGCCAACGGCTGCCGCTCTTCGGGGTGCGCCCTCCTCGACGCGCTGACGGCCATGTCCACAAGCGACGCGGCCGGCCCGTGGAGGCGTGCGCCAGGTGCTGATGCCGCGCGTGCTAGCCCCGAGGCCGACGCGGAGCCGCCGAGGGCGGGGCAAAGGGGCGAGCATGGCGCGGGGCCCCTCGGGCAGCAAGGGCTTCCCCTGGCCCCACCGAACTCCTCGAGATCGAAGCCGAGCTCGCGGAGCTCCAGCGCCTCGCCGCCACGGCCGCTGCGGAGGCGGCGCGGGCTCCCCAGGCCCCCGACGGCCCCGACGACGAGAAGGCGGGAGAGCGTGGAGATGGTGGTGACGTCAGGGGCGTCGGGACGGAGGTTGGCGGCACGGCGGCGGAGGCGGGGAGGGCCCGCATTCGCGCGACCCCGATTCCGCCCGCGCGACCGAAGCCAACGTGCTAGCCCTCGCACAAGGCGCGTGCCGAGGTGCTGCGCAGGCATCGGCCCCTCCGCAAAAGGCGAGCTCCGCGCCGCCGAGTCGGCGCTGGCTGGCGCAAGGCTCCCCATCCCTCGTTGACTTCGGCCGGGCAGTTCCTCGGCGCGCTGGGTGCTGCTGGACGTGGCGACGGCGCGCACCCCGGCAAGCGGGCTTGGTTGCCGCCCCGCCTCTACTTCCTGGAGTCGTTCGGCGTGGAGGCCGCGGCCCGGTCCAACGGAGGAGCGCCTCTTCGGAGGGCCAGTCCCGCTGAGAGCTCCTACTGTGGAGCAGGGTGAATACGCTCCTGCGGGAGGTCAGTACCCGGGCCCCCCCAACGCGCCGCGTGGGGCGCCAGTAAATTGTTCTTGTCGCCGTGCCCTTCGACAAATTGTTGGTGCTGTTCTCGGGTACGGCCTGCTTTTCGCCCCCCTCGCTGAGGGAGCCGATCCGTCCTTGTGGACGGCTGCAGGCACTGCAGGGGGCAGTTCACGGGCTTGCGCCGCCGCGCGTGCCGACTCGCCTCTTTTTGGTTGTCTCTTACTATTGCTTCTTGTCCACCCTTCCCTCTCCTCATCCACCTCTTCCTCATCCACCTCATCCACTCTCTTCCTTGGTAACCACCTCATCCACCTCATCCTTGGTAACCACCTCACCTCTCATCCACTCTCCTCCTCATCCACCTCATCCACCTCTTCCTCATCCACCTCTTCCTTGGTTACCACTCCTCATCCACCTCTTCCTCCTCCTCCCCCCTCCCCCCTCTAAATCACTTCTCCCTGCCGCGCCCCGAGGCAGGCCCAGAGGGCGGGGCGGGCGTTTCGCCTGCGACTTCCTCGCCATGTGTGGCTCTGGAACTAAAACATGGTCGGCAACAGCTTCACAGATGGAGGGCGGTTGGTCTTCAAAACGTGGCTCTCGTCGTAGCACCGCGCACACTCGTAGCTAAAACTTTGCAGGAGCTTCACGGATTGAGGGCGGGTCAAAGTTGCAAGAGCTTCACGGATGGAACGCGGGCCTTGCCAAATGTGTACCTCTCGCCTTAGCGCCATGTACACTCGTATTCACATGTTACAAGAACTTCATCATGGACGGAGAGGGCGGGTCGTTTTCAAAATGTCCTCCTCCTCCTCCTCCTCCTTCTCCTCACTCCTCCGTCCTCCAACTCCTCATTATCCTGATCCTCCTCCTTCCTCTTCCTCCTTTACCCCCCTCTTTCCTCATCGTTCCTCCTCCTCCTCCTCCTCCTCCTCCTGCGCCCCCTTCCCCTCCCTCCTGGGGAGGCGGCTCCTGCTCCAGGGTGCTGCTCGCGGCCACGGGCATGGTCACCGAGAGCGTGTCCGCGCACCTGTTCGCGGTGGCCTGGGCGCGGCGGCGTGCGCCGGAGCCGCAAGGGGGAATCCTCGTTCCTTCCTCCCTCCCTCTCTCCCTCCCTGCTTCCTCCTGCCTCCCTGCTTCCTCTTGCCTCCCTGCTTCCTCCTGCCTCCTCCCCTCCCTCCACCCTCCTCCCGCCTCCTCCCTTGTCCTCGCTCCACCCTTCTTCCTCAGAAGTAACTCCTCCCCGTCGAACCCCGACGCCGGTCAGAAGGGCGGGCCGGGCGTCTCGCGTGAGCCTTCGTCACCATTTACGGTTCTCAAGCTAACGTGCAGAAGCTTCACAGATAAAGGGAGGGGCGCTTTCAAAATGCGGCTCTCGCCTAAGCGCCGCGCACATTCGCCTGAAATCGTTGCAATCATTTCACAGATGTAGGGCGGGCCGTTTTCAATATGCGGCTCTCGCCTTAGCGCCGCGCAAAGTCGCCTTAAATCAGTGCAAGAGATTCACAAATGGAGAGCGGGTCATTTCCAAAATGCGGCTCTCGCCTTGGCGCCGCGCACATTCGCCTGAAATCATTGCAAGAGATTCATAAATGGAGGGCGGTCCATTTTCAAAATGCGGCTCTCGCCTTAGCGCCGCGCACATTCGTCTTAAATCATTCGAAGAGTTTCACGGGTGGATGGCGAGCCGTGTTCAAAATGCGGCTCTCGCCTTAGCGCCGCGCACATTCGTTTAAAAGCATTGTTGCAAGAGTTTCACGGGTGGAGGGTGGGCCGTTTTCAAAATACCGATCTCGCCTCAACTCGTTTCAAGAATCCCTATGGCTAAGACGTCGGAATGTCAGATCCGTTCTGAAATAGTTTCACGGGTGGTCATGGCAAAAACCCAAAGAATGGCGTTTTGGCACGATGTCGGAATGTTAGGGCGCAACAGTCACGTGAGTCGTGGCATTGAAATCCCAGGAATGGCGTTCTGGTGCGATTCACGCAGCGTCGAAGTCCCAGGAACGGTGTTCTGGCCCAGTTCAAGTTTTTCAAAAGGCTGTCTTCAAGCGGCGAACTTTGCCTCATGAAAGTGAACCTCTGTAGGGGCATATGAAGAGGAGAACTTGGAGGGAGGGTTTATTGCAATATCGTTGATGAGTCTTGGGTTTATACTGGTCCTCACTCCGACCTGCCGCTGGAGAGCCAATGGTGCCGCTGATTATGGTAGCCCGCGAGCTTGGATATGTAACCGTGGGAGGAAGAGTAGAAGATGCAGTGGCAGGTGAAGTAGAAAATGAAGTGGGAAATGAGTTCTGGTGATGAGTAGGAATGCTGATGGCGACTCTCCCAATGCACCTAGAAGTCGAGGATTGCGAGCTACTCGCGGAACGACTTCTAAAATTCCCAGGCCGAGCCACGCCAGGTCAGACACATGGTAGAAATGGCGGCGGTGGATGAAGAGGGAGGTCAGGCCGAGCTTGCATAGATTCGGATTCGGCTGCAGAGATCACGCAGTGTAGCCTAGCCTGTCGGGCCTGACCAACCAGAAAGCCTCCATGTCCGCCGTGTGAGGGACCGTCTACAGTAGGAGCTCGACCACAAGAACTCCTCCACAAGACACCCAACCCTGACCCCAGGACGCCCATTGGCTTTTGGCGTGGGAACGCCACGCCTTCCACAGCAAATCAAATCATCGAAACCTAAGAAACCCAGGTCTTCCTGGAGACGAGCAAGGTGCTTCTTGGCATTTGTTTCCACTCTATGTAGGGCCTGACAAACTGGAAAGCCTCCAAGGTCTGCCGTGAGCGGGGCCGTCTATGTATATGCGCACCCGCCTCCTCCTCCTCCTCCTACGCCTCCTACCCTGCAGAACTGGAACCGCGTGATCACGACGGACTTGGATGTCGATTCTGTGAGTGAAGCGGCTGGGTTGGCCACGGGCGCGAAGCATCCAGGGCCCGGCGGTGGACCGAGCGCGGCGCTCTGCCACTGAATCCCGCTCCCGCGCATGAGTCCATCATGTCCCTCTACAGGAGGCAAATTCAAAAATTGACAAAACATGACATGGGGACGATGTTTTGACTATTGTGGACAGCTTTGGAACATGTTCTGACAATGTTCCCAACCATCCTATGGTGCTGGGCCCTCGTTTGGGAGAGACAGCGCTCCGCGCTCCTTCCTTCCTTCCTTCTGTCCTCCTCCTCCTTCTCCGCCTCCTCTCGTTCCTCCTTCCATCCTCCATCCTCATCCTTCTCCTCCTACTCATCATCATCATCATCATCATCATCATCATCATCATCATCATCATCATCATCATCATCATCATCATCATCATCATCATCATCATCCTAATCCTCATCCTCATCCTCATCAGCATCATCAACATCCTCATCATCATCAGCATCATCATCATCAGTATCATCATCATGCTCATCATCATCATCATCATCATCATCATCATCACCATCATCACCATCATCATCATCATACTCATCCTCATCTCTATCCTCATCCTCATCCTCATCCTCATCCTCATCCTCATCCTCATCCTCATCATCAGAATCATCATCATCATCATCATCATCATCATCATCATCATCATCATCATCATCATCATCATCATCATCATCATCTTCACCATCACCATCATCATCACCACTATCGTCACCAGCATCACCACCATCATCATCATCATCACCTGAGTCCATGCCAGCAATTTCGGAACATCCCTCACACGGTTCGTGGCTCCGTAGGGAGCTCCACCGAAGGCCCCAATGGCAATTTACATGTGTCCCCGCACCCCATGTCGGCACACCCCTCACACGGTTCGTGGCTCCATAGGGAGCTCCACCGAAGGCCCCAATGGCACAGTTTACATGCTTCGCCGCCACACATTTCGGCACACCCCTCACACGGCTCGTGGCCTCATAGGGAGCCCCACCGAGTGCCTCAGTGGTACAGTTTACAAGCGTCCCCGCCACCCATTACGGCACACCCCTCAAGCGGTTCGTGGCCCCATAGGATGCTCCACCGAAGGCCCCAATTGTACAATGTACATGCGTCCCGCCCCCCATTTCGGCACACCACTCACACGGCTCGTGGCGCCATAGGGAGCTCCACCAGAGTCCCCAATTGCACAATTTACATGTGTCCCCACCACCCATTTCCGCACACCAATTACACAGCTCGTGCCACATAGGGATCTCCACCGAAGTCCCCAGTGGCGCAGCTTTCATGCGTCCGCGCCACCCATTTCGGCACACCCCTCACACGGTTCGTGGCCCCATAGGGGGCTCCACCGAAGGCACCAGTGGCTCAGTTTTCATGCGTCCCCGCCACCCATTTCGGCACTTCACTCGCACGCTTCGTGGCCCCAAAAGGAGCTCCACCGAAGGCACCAGTGGTGCAGTTCACATGCGTCTCCACCACCCATTACGGCGCACCCCTCACGCGGCTCGTGGCCGCATAGGGAGCTCCACTGAAGGCCCCAGTGGCACAGTTTTCATGCGTCCTCGCCACCCATTTCGGCACACCCCTCACTCGTGACGTGGCCCCGTAGGGAGCTCCACCGAAGGCCCCAATGGTACAATTGACATGCGCTTCCACCACCCATTACGGCACACCCCTCACACGGTTCCTGGCCCCATGGGGAGCTCCACTGAAGGCCCCAGTGGCACAGTTTCCATGCGTCCCCGCCACCCATTTCGGCTCACCCCTCACATCGTTCGTGGCCCCATAGGGAACTCCACCGAAGGCCCCCTGCCCGCACTGCCCCGCGCTTCGCTCTTGCTGCGGCGCGCTGCCTACGAGAGTTAGTCGGAGTTTGCGCGCCCCCCTCCTTCGTCTCACCTCCCCAGCGGTACTCGCAGCTGCATATGGTTCGGTCCTTCGTCAGGCTAATTCTATTTCTGATCCAATGTCCGTCTAAGGGGTCGTGTCCTGCGCGACGTCCCCTTCGATCTGGGCGTGCACCGTGCTTCGAGACGGGCAGAATAAAACTCCTCCCAACTGTCACGAAGCGCAGCCGATCGGGATCTTCGGCACGGTCCGTGGCAACACCCCTGGGCGTCTTCCTCGTGTGCCCCGTCTCCAAGATATCTGCGTGATGCGGACGACACGGGACTTTCACGTGTTGCTGGGTCAGGAGTTGCACCGGCTTGCTCGTCGAAGTGGATATCTGGAGTACGCCCCGGCGGTGTGGAAGGATGATGAGCTGGTAGAACAGGCCGCTCTTGCTCGTGATGGCTGAAGCGTGTGTAGTCTGCGTTCCGAGCTCCAGGAGCGTCTAACATCGAGGTGTGCCCAACAACCACCTGAGAGAAGGACTCCATGTCCTGCTGGACTTTTCACACGAGCACTGCGATCTCCAATGTCATCAGCTGTGCCCCCACCCCAGTGTAACCAAATTTACATTTCTCGTTTCTTTCTCGCCCATGCTCCTCGGCATTGGTCTGCTCCACTCTCGCACTGAGTCCAAACGTTTCGTAGGCAAAATGACCATCCTCTCTGCGGTAAGCTTAGCTGGAAAATCGACTATCATAGCCGCTGTGGAGGTGAGGCTAGCGGGCGAATCAGCCCAGTGCCACGTTGTCGGAGATGGTGACTCTTCTGAGCTGTTGCCTGTTGCTCCACCACTCGGGGCCAGAGGCTCTCGACCATTTTGCGCGCCTCACCCTGCAATGCCGACGTCCTCCAATAACCGCAGACCGTGGCCGGAGACGGCGAGCCCGGCAGAACGAGTCGGGACACCTGGCTACCTACCAGACCACCCCAACCCAACCCGAAGACCCGAATTTCGCCCGAATTTCGGGCTGGGGGGGGGTACGGGATTCAGAAATGTTTGTTCAATGTTCCCCGACCCCCCCATCCACTGAAGATGGGAAGCACGGGGCCTTCGGGCTGGGTTGGGGTGGTTTGGTGGGCGGTGAACACCAGCAACGAGAGGCGACGGCTCGAATCAACACGTACGCCGGACGAGTTCCAGCGTGGCCATCATCCTGCCGACCGCCACGGACGAACCTGGATCCCATCGCACCCGGTGTGATCAACGGGCTGCTGAAAGACAGGGAGCTCCGTTTGGGCAACCGCGTGATGGAGAACGGCGCACGGCCCAAGGCAGACTGCCACCGGCGCACCACGCACAAGAGTGGCACATGCCGAAGATCCCTCGTCGCGCTGAGTGATCTCCTCCTCCTCCTCCTCCTCCTTCTCCTCCTGCTCCTCCTCCTCCTTCTCCTACACCTCCTTGCTTACCCTGCCGCTGCTCCTCATCCACCCGGAAGAAGGAGGCGAGGGCCTTGCTCCTCCTGCTCCTGCTGCCCCACCCCGGACGAAAAAAGGGCGGGGGCCGCCTCCTCATCCTCGTCCTGCCCCTGCTCCTCCTGCCCGTATCGGAGCAAGGCAATTCAGACAACGGCGGCTCTCCCGCCCAGCGGCCACACTCGCTCAAAAGATCGGGGCCTGGATCCCTCCCGCTTGTCCACGCGGATATTCGGCCTTGGCGACGAGCAGCCCCTGGCGACGAGAAGCCTCTGGGCGGCCCGAAGAGGACGAACACCGCCAGGGAGGGCCGCCGTGGTCTCCACTGGCACTCCTCCGAGCATGCCGACCCCCCCCCCGCCCACCCGCCCCCGGCGCGCAGAAGAGACACACGAGGGCCTCCGCCACCGCCTTGCTGGCCCCCGTGAGGATGCCCTGGCAGAGGGCAGCTCGGCGCCACCCCGCCGTCACGCGGGGAGGGGGGGGCGGGAGGATGGCGAGGGCAGGCAGAGGGGCAGGAGGACCCTTACGGTTGAGGCCCGACCACGAGAAACCTTTCACAAGAAGCCCAACCCTGATACCCCAGGTCGTCCGTGGCGTGGGAACGTCGCGCTTTCCACAGCAAGACCATCGAAACCCAAGAAACCCAGGGCACCCTGGAGGCAAGCAAGGTGTTTCTTGGCATAGGCTTCCATTGTAGTGGGCCCTGAAAACGGCAGGGCCGTTTACCAGTTCCGTTACGTTTTTGTTGCCGGTTCCGACGCCGTTTTTGTTCCCAATTCCGGCTAAAACTCCAATCCTGGAGCCGTTTTTGTTGCCGCTTCCGGTCGCCGTTCTTGTGGCCGCTTCCATGCTCCAGAAACGCTTGTTCCGGAGAAACTGTAAAAAAACGTCCCTGCCGTTTCTGGGGCGCACTGCGGGAGGACCCCGTGCAGCGGGGGGAGGCGCAGGGACACGGATTTGCCAGTGTAGAATGGGGGCTCGCCGTCGCATCAGTGCCTCGTACTGTTCCTTTCAGCTGTTGCCAGTCCTGCTCACTGTATGTATCGCAGCGCCTTGAGCTAACGGATATTGATCAGCCAACGCAGCTGGCTCGCTGCAGAAACGATCGGAAGACGGCGGGTCGAACCCACGGCGGCTCTCCCCGGCGTTTCCCTTCGTCCTTGTTGTGGGCTTCCTGGAGGGGCGGTCCTCCTCGCCACGGCTGCACCCGCCCAAGTGCAGGAAGGACCAGGGAGGACCCCTGGAGCGGCACGGGGGCCGATCCTGCGCGGATTTGAGACGGTGAGCGTTTTTTGATTCTGCGTTTCGACATTGGGCGGAAAGGGGGGAGGGGGAGGGTCTGGCTCCAGACCTCTGCTTCATGGCGTCTGTTTGCAGCACCACCTGCTCGAAACAGGCGCCAAAAAACAGCAAAGATCTGCTCCATGAGGGGGGGAGCGAAAGGGGGGGATAGCAAAGGGGGGGTTTGAGAATCAGCCCGCGTAGCTGACTTCCCCGGCGCCTCCCGGCGCCGGAGGCGGCTATGCACCGAAGAATGGGCCCCTCGGTGAGGCCGAAACCAGCTGCATGCAGCAAATTTTGTAACCCCCCTTTCGCCCGGCCCGATCCATGAGGGGGGGGAGGGGCGGGGGGGGGCGGGCGAGGCCAGCCCGATCCATGAGGGGGGGGGGGGGGCGGGGGGGGGGGGCGGGCGAGGGCCGGCGCCGATCGGCAGAACAATGGAGAAAACAGCGCCCACACGGGCGGGAGGGCCGCCGCTGTTTCCGCTAGTCCTCCTGCCCGAAGCGGCAGCGAAGGGGGGGGGCAGGGGGAGAGGAGGGGCCCTGAGATCCCGGGAAGTCATGCTTTTTTTGTTTCAAAATCCTCGATCTTCGAGGGTTGGAAGCGGGAAAACGTGGGAAGGCGAAAAACATTAGAAAAACAATTGGACATCAACGATTTTACCCTCTTTGGGCTCTCTCGGGACGGCTCTCGCAGCTCTCGTGGGCTGTTCTTGGTGTCTCGTCGGGGTCTTTTTGGGGCCTCTCAAAGATCGGGTGAGTGTTGGGGGCCTCTGGGTGGTCGGAGGCCTCTCGGATGTCTCTGGAAGCCTCCTGCTCCCGCTCATTGGGCCCATCTTGGGCCTGTTCTGGGGTGGTCTGGGGCTGTCCTGGGCGCCTCTTCGGCAGTCTTGGAGCCTTCTTAGCCCGTCGTGGGGCCGTCCTGCGGGTCTCTTGGGTGGTTTTGGGGCAGTCTTGGGAGCCTCTTCGGCGCTCTTGGGTCATTGGAAGCTCGAAAACGCGAGAAGCCAAAAACATGGGAAACAACCAATGACAACCGACGATTTTGGCCTCTTCGGGCCGTCCCGGGACGCCTCTCGGACCTCTCTGCTGGGGGTCTCTTGGAGACCACCTGGGAGCCTCGAGAGCCGTCGGAAGGCTGCCTTTGGCTGCTTGGGAGCGTCTTGGACCGTCCTTTCTGGGGGCTCCTGGGAGGCGCCGGGCCCTCCTGGGGCGCTGTGGAGGCTCTCCCCGGAAAGGCCGGGGGAGCGGCACTGGGAGCGTCCCCGAGATTTCACGGGGAGGTGTGGGACCCCGGGCGCGCATCGCGCGCGCTTGGGTTCTAGCGCATGCCATGGCGTTGTTAGCTAAGCGTGCTATTCGGACAGGCCCATTCATTCCATGCCTTGCCTTACCTCGTTCTCCGATATTCCTTACACGTCCTTCCTGTGGAGGCTCCCCGGAAAGGCCGGGAGAGCCGTACCGGGAGCGTCCCCGAGATTTCACGGGGAGGTGTGGGACCCCAGGCCGGGGGGGGCGGTATTTGTTTATATTATACTAGAACCACGCGCGCGCTTCGCGCGCGCTTAGGTTCTGTCGAGTCACAGACCCAGGAATCGTGGAACCCCTCTCGGGCCCATCTTGGGGCTCTCTTGGGCCGCCTTCGGAGCCTCTTGGGGCGTCCTGGGTCTCTCGTGGGGGCTTCCTGGAGCTCTCTTGGCGCCTCCTGGAAGCTCTTGGGGCCGAAAGCTCGGAATTCTACATGACCGCTTTATTTTGCCAGTGGCTCAGACTGCTTGAGGATTCGAACGAAGCACGGGCAAGCTAGGCTGGCTAGTGCGACACAGATCTGCTCAAGGGACCATTTAAACGAGGCATTGGGCTGGCGTGGGCCGAAAGAAGTGCCTTGAGCGAGAAGGCGACAGACATTAGCAATCATTCTCGTGCATCACTTACATGATCGCTTTATTTTGCCAGTGGCTCAGACTGCTTGAGGATTCGAACGAAGCACGGGCAAGCTAGGCTGGCTAGTGCGACACAGATCTGCCATACGAAATGAAATCCATCACTCAAGCATTGCGCTGGGGCTTAACCCCGCATTCGTTTCCATCTTTCGGTGGCCTGCTGCGCTATACACGATCTGTGCAGCGTGTCAGCCAGGAGTGCGCAAAGGACGGGGGGATAGGCGTTTTTGAGACGGGTGAAAAAGCCACCCCCAGAAAGACAACCGGAGAGCTCCAGGTGGGGCTTGCCGGTAAAGGAGCAAATTCCTCTGCCTTTGCACACTAACTTATCAAGGCCAGGGCGCGGGCTGCACTTCCAGAACCTTATCCGAGTGCGAGCACGAAAGGGGCGACCACAAGCACAGTAATCGACAACTCTATCACAGACTTCGGGAAGGTTAGCAAAGGAACGGCGGTCGGGGCGAAGCCACAGGAAACTTTGCCAAGGGTTCTCCTCGCCGCCAGGGATATTCAATCTATAGCAGAGACGCTGAATACGCTGTGAGACCCACCCTACCTTGTTAGAGACGCGGAGGCTCTCGAGGTCTTTACCCGTGAGGCCCGGGATCCCAAGAGGAAACGCGGGGCTCCGGAGAGCCGAGGGCATGCTGCTGGACAGGGGGGCCCGACGGGCCCTCGAGTAGCCGTTGCAAGGCGTCCCCAGGAAAACGAGTTTGACTAGTTGCTCAGGGCTCCACATCCTGAAAAGACTTCGACGCACACCCTTTTTTTTGGGGGGGGCGCTCCGAAATGCAGCTCCAAGAACCTGTTGAAGACGCCCACGAAGTCCCTGCTTGCTGCTCGGAGGGTTTTGCGCAGCAAGTCGCTGAGCTTGCGTAGTTCCAGCAGCGGGCGTCCGTGCTTCTCGCAGCGCAGCACGGACTTGAACGCCTTCCAACCTCCTCGCTGCAGCACGGTGCCTGAGTCTCTGTCGCCCGTGCTCTGGTCGTGGCTGGCCCCTCCATGCTGGAGGGAGCAAGGGGTGGCCTTGCGTAAGCACACGCTCCGAGCAAGGGTCGTGTTCTGGAAGTCCTTCGCCAGTTGGTTGTAGCCCAAGACCAGGAAGGCGTGGACGGGTTCCCGAAGGGCTCGCACAAGGAAGATCGGGTTCACCATCAACTGTTGCCTGGGCAGGTCGAGCCGAACTGAAAGGTCGTACTCGCGGGTCTTGTTTGGTATCTCGTACACTGAGGCCCACACCGCGACCGTCAAGAAGATCGGTACACCTCCTTCCCTTGGCAGCGGCAGGACCGCCTGCCTTGCTCGCATATCCAGCACTCTTGACGGGCGCATGTAGGTCACGAACCTGGCGAGAACGGCCAAGCCACAGAGTGGCTTCCCCGCCCGGCACCGCCCGCAGGCCACCGCCAGCACCACCAAGAACGGGACGGGCGGTCTGGGTTTGGACGGGTCCAGGACGTTCCAGCCCTTCAGCGTCTGGTGCGTCAGGGGGAAGACCTCGCGGATCCCGCCCTGGCGGGGGGCGGGCAACGCCCAGCGCAGCGCCGGGCCCAGCCGCTGAGAAGACACCTTGAGGACCCCGCGGTCGTAGATCGACTCGGCGTACTCTCCCAGCGTCTCGTCCCACGTGAGGTGCGCCCAGTCCAGGAGGAAGGCCATATTCAGCCAGCGTACCAAGCCGAGGATCATTCCGAGGTAGGGCACCTGCGTGCGAGGCCTGCAATTGGCCGAAGCACGCCGGGTCTGGCGCGGGCGCAACTGGCGCCTCTTCTGGATGAAGTCGCTCTCCAAGTGACTGAGGCCAAGCTTTGCGCGCCGCCCAGCCAAGTCTGGCCTGCTCTCGGGCTCGCCCAGCACCGGCAACACGGCCTGCCTCGGCCTGCCCCGGCATCGGTTGCCCGGGCGGCAAGGCAAGTGGCTCCTGCGCTCGCTCGGCGCGCGAGGGCCGGAGCGGCAGCTCGCCAAGGCCATCGGCGTGGGCGGCACCGCCTGGAGCATCGCCACCTCCACGCACGCTCCCGGGGCCCCGAGGCTGGAAGCGGCGAGACGGACCGTCGCTCGGGTTCCACTCTGAGGGGGGCCACCTCGCCTGAACCTTCAGGTCTGCGGCGACCCCCGCAGCGAAGAGGACGCGACAGACTCCCAGGAGACGATGATTGGCCGCGCGGCCTTTGGCGGCAGCGAGGGTGAGAGACATGTTACTGCCAAG